ACTAACTCTTTCCCTGATGAACTCTTTCTCTAACTAACTCTTTCTCTCACTAACTCTTTCTTTGACTAACTCTTTCCCTGACATTCTAAAAGTCCGTAACACGGAAGTTTCTCCCCCTAAACTTCCTTTGATAACTTGTATAACTTCTACCAGATAGTGCCCGGCCCCGGGGGGGGCGAAAGTTTCGAGAAGAGCAATAGCCATCAGAAATCAATGGGGAAAGATTTCCGTTGCGAGGTGCATCACCGAATGAGAATGAAATGAAATCAATGATGTGAACGAATCAGTGCGCGGATGGCTGAGTGAGTGAGTGAGCGAGCGAGTGAGCGAGTGAGTGTGAGTGAGTGAATGAATGAATGAATAAATGGATGGACGAGTGAATGAATCAATGAATCAATGATCCAATGAATCAATGAAGGAATGGGTGAATCAGTGAATCAGTGAACGAGTGAGTCAATCAATGAATCAATGAATTAGCGAATCAATCAATGAATAAACCTATGAATTTCTGAATCAACATTGATCGCGGAGTGAATCAGTAAAGAACCACTGAATGAAAGAACCAATCAGTGAATTAATAAATGAGTGAATCAATGAATGAATCAATGAATGATTGAATAAATCAATGAAGCAAGGCATTCGTGAATCAATGCATGAGTGAACGAACCAATGAATGAACCAATGAATCAATAAGTGAAAGAATCAATGAATCAATCAATGAATCAAAGAAGTACTGAATGAATGAACGAATCAATGAATTACTGATTTCAGGACAGAAGGCACGAATGAATGAGCAAATTCATGAGCTACTTCTTCCTTGAACTGCCCATTCCCCAAGCGAAGTCTTCTCTAAGCATCTCTAAGTTACCTTTTCATTGAGTTTCTTCTTGACTGAGCCACCTTGTCGCTGATCCACCTCTTCTCTGTAGACCTGTTCTCTCAATTTCTCTCAGCTAGTTCTTCTCTGAGCCCTCTTATCTCAGCTACTTCTTTTCTGACACTGTCGTGCTACTTCTTCTCTGAGCTACTCCTTCTGTAGCTTCTCTAGCCCAATCCTTCTCTTCCCGCAGCCATTACAATGTGTTTTGCACCCTGCAGCTGCAATCCCGTGTAGCACAAGATTGACCATGCGCATTGGTCCGCAACTCGGAAATTTGCGAACTAAACTACCTTCTGGAATTTTATATCTTTGCAAGGTGGGTTGGGGGGCTGCAAGTGCACTACGCCGTGTTTGCTTCGTTCGCCTGGCCCTCATGATTTTATGGAAAAAGAAAACACATGAAATAACTAGGGGCATGATGTGGCTGGGGAGGCTGGGGAGCGTGACTTTTGGGTGGCCCACAAAAGGTACCTTCAAAGCTTATCATCATTTGAGGGTCTGACAGGTCTGACAGTATTTGGATGTTTTTGGATCCCTTCATACTGATCATTACTGATCCTTGAATTCCTTGATGCCATAGATTTTCTTGGCAACAGAACTCAGCTGAACTCAGCCTACGCCCAGGTTGAAATCGATCTCGTGAAGTTGGAGGCCCAGATGATATCTGAAGGAGATTTAGATGAAGAGACAGAGAGATCAGAAAACTACACGCCGTCTGAGTCCATAAAGGAGACGGAGTCACTTGGCAGAAGTGGTGTGAGTGTTCTTGGGACTTTGTCTACAAACGAAGCTTTCTTTCAGTGATTTCTTCATAAAACTGGCCACTGCAGCACGGATGCAGCAATGAGTCTCAGGTATTATGACTTGCTGAAAGTGAAGCCTTCTGCTAGTGAAGCTGAAATCAAGAAAGCCTACTACAAGGAGTGAAAATCTGATGGATTCTTTTTCGATCAAAATGATTTTGACAAAGCGAAGGCAACCGAAACATGGACAGTGAAGACAGGGTGATAGGCATTGGTGTCATGGCATATGCCCCAACTCACTCCCCGCGAGGAGGCTCGAGCGTGTCATCCAGACAAACACCCAATGGATGACGAGGCCAATGCCAAGTTTCAGAAGTTGGCAAATGCATACCAGGCGAGTGCGTTGTGCGTTCTGCTTGGGCCGCGCTGCTGAAATGGCAAACATACCGCGCAAGTTTAGGCGCAATAGCGAATCTAACTAGCCTTGGATGTAATCCCTTCTTGTGAATCCGAAAAAAACATCACTTTTCCAATATTTTCCCAAGAAATGATGTGTGGCATCCTTTTCGACACATTTGACGGAGCTCTCTCACAGGTTCTGTCCGATCCCAAGTCGAGGCAGGCCCTGGAAGTTGGGAAGAATTTTGGTGCTACGACGTTAGGTCAGTTGCTTCATTCACTGGATTCGTTTCAGGAAACCATGGATTTCCGAAGATTTCCCCATGGGCAAGTTTTTCCACCGGTGAACGTGGCGAACGTATCCTGATGCGAAGGAAGAAGTACGACGAGGAAGGCGAAAAAGGCGTACAAGATCGCAAGGTGGGCCTGCTTTGGTGTGGGGGATGGAGATTGGATTGCTGCCCACTTGCACACTTGCTGAGCCGACGTTACGCCTATGTTATCTATGTTGGCCTCATGCGAGCTTCTTCTATTGAGCCTATGACTTTTCAAATATGAATCGAGGATGAAAATCTTTGAACACCAGCTACTTCGATGCTAAAGCCAGTCAATAGAATTTGTGATTGGTGACAGTGCTTTGCTTGTGATGTGCTGATGTGCTGCGCATTGCCCCATTTGTACCAGAGCAACCTAGCAAATTTGTGCCAAGAAGGCGTGGACTCTGAAAGATTCGCAGCTGGAAAGCGGCCACAGTTTTGATGATCTACCGGTCATACCTGGCTTCTGGGGATTGTTGCCTTATGGGAATCCCCGTGAACAAACCAGCGCGGGGATGACGTCTTGGGTTCCAGGTGAAATTTGACCCGACGATGTTCTTCAGCTTCCTCTTCGGCTCCGACCGCTTCGAACCCTGGATAGGTGAGCTGTACGTGGACCTGATGATCAAGGTCATGGCAAGAGGTGCCACGTTTGTCAGGGAATTTGTATGCGTCGAAAGGGGTGAGAAGAGGTTTTAGTCAGTTTCAGTCTGCACAAATTTGAAGCTGCATTTTAAACGGGAAATGGAGTAGGTGGGAGGATGACAATGGCAGTATGAATGAGTATGAAAGCAAAGGGGTTTACTTGGCCCTGCGAGACTTCACCTTCACGAGGTCTCTCTAACATTCTCTAACCTGACCTTGAATGCTACTGCAAGATGAGCACAGCACAGTAGTTCCAGTTGCCATTGCGATGTGAGGCGATGACAAAGTTTCTTGTTCGCAGTTACGAATCCCTGTTTCCTTCATAGTTTACTTAGCATAGCTTATGTGGATATGGAAGGCCGCATATTCTATGATTGACGCCCTGAGTCCTAGGCATCCTGCCCAACATGCAGTGATATTTGGTCTTTATGTGTTGGATTTGGGTCGGACGTAATGAGATGTGTTGTGGATTTCAGGGTTCATGGGGTGCGAAGATGGGCAAGGACGCACCTACCTTGAAGAAGCGACAAGAGCGTCGGGAGGCCGCTGTGCACAGAGAGAGAGAGAGAGAGAGAGTTGCAGAGACCAGCGGGGATCAAAGAGCGTTCAACATTAGACGCTGGGCGTGCTTGCAAATCAGACTAGGTGTAGGTACTCTCTAGGGAACAAACGTATCCACTTTTTTTGTGGATTTTTTTTTGGATACGTTAGCTGCTGTGAACATAGGCTATGATAAGTGCCCTATACTTGAGACATGTTAGCTGAAAATCCAGAATGGACACCGGACACGTTAGTGGAAAAGTTGTCCCCCCCTCTGGGGGTTCCCGGGAAACTGCCAGAAGACTACCGCCCCGGACGCCCCAGCATCTTTATTTCCAGACCCCAATAGGGCTCAAATCAAAGACTGCATTGATAACACAACGGTGGAGAAAAAAGGGGTCCCAACTCCTTCCGGAAGAGCGCATCATAGATGATGCTCGTGGGTGGACAGGAAGATTGGGGGTGCATTCCAAAAACCAGTTGCATTTAGTAAGGGTTGGATGACTGGCCATGGAAAGCGTCCACCTAACGTGTCCGTGTTGTTCAGAGGATGTGGTTTTGAGATATGTGAGTGGTTATTGGCTGAATCTATCCCCCCAAAATAGCGAACATATCCCAGATCAGGGTCGAAATCCAAGGGCCCCAATTGCAGGAACTGAGACATGTTAGCTGTTTTTGGGTCAATGGTCCCCAAAAAAGTTGCAATGCATTCCCCAGGAAATCCAGGAAAACGCCGGTACCGAGTGGACATGTTAGTTGATACCTGAAACGGTAGCCCGAGACACGTATCCACTTTTTTGTGTTTGTTTTTGGATACGTTAGCTGCTGTGAGCATAGGCTATGATAAATGCCCTATACTTGAGACATGTTAGTTGAAAATCCAGAATGGACACGGTAGTGGAAAAGTTGTCCCCCCCTCTGGGGTTCCCGGGAAACTGCCAGAAGACTACCGCCCCGGACGCCCCAGCATCCTTATTTCCAGACCCCAATAGGGCTCAAATCAAAGACCGCATTGATAACAAAACGGTGGAGAAAAAAGGGGTCCCAACTCCTTCCGGAAGAGCGCATCATAGATGATGCTCGTGGGTGGGCAGGAAGATTGGGGGTGCATTCCAAAAACCAGTTGCATTTAGTAAGGGTTGGATGACTGGCCATGGAAAGCGTCCACCCAACGTGTCCGTGTTGTTCAGAGGATGTGGTTTTGAGATATGTGAGTGGTTATTGGCTGAATCTATCCCCCAAAAATAGCGAACATATCCCAGATCAGGGTCGAAATCCAAGGGCCCCAATTGCAGGAACTGAGACATGTTAGCTGTTTTTGGGTCAATGGTCCCAAAAAAGTTGTAGTTGATACATGAAACGGTAGCCCGAGACACGTATCCACTTTTTTTGTGTTTTTTTTTGGATACGTTAGCTGCTGTGAACATAGGCTATGATAAATGCCCTATACTTGAGACATGTTAGCTGAAAATCCAGAATGGACATGTTAGTGGAAAAGTTGTCCCCCCCTCTGGGGGTTCCCGGGAAACTGCCAGAAGACTACCGCCCCGGACGCCCCAGCATCCTTATTTCCAGACCCCAATAGGGCTCAAATCAAAGACTGCATTGATAACAAAACGGTGGAGAAAAAAGGGGTCCCAACTCCTTCCGGAAGAGCGCATCATAGATGATGCTCGTAGGTGGGCAGGAAGATTGGGGGTGCATTCCAAAAACCAGTTGCATTTAGTAAGGGTTGGATGACTGGCCATGGAAAGCGTCCACCTAACGTGTCCGTGTTGTTCAGAGGATGTGGTTTTGAGATATGTGAGTGGTTATTGGCTGAATCTATCCCCCAAAAATAGCGAACATATCCCAGATCAGGGTCGAAATCCAAGGGCCCCAATTGCAGGAACTGAGACATGTTAGCTGTTTTTGGGTCAATGGTCCCCAAAAAAGTTGTAATGATTTCCCCAGGAAAACGCCGGTACAGAGTGGACATGTTAGTTAATACCTGAAACGGTAGCCCGAGACATGTTTGTTCCCGGGAGTGTAGGTGTAGGTAGGTGTAGGTAGGTGTAGGTAGGTGTAGGTAGGTGTAGGTAGGTGTAGGTAGGTGTAGGTAGGTGTAGGTACATAATCCAGTCCTTTTAGCGAAAAAAACACAAGTATCAATTATCTATCCAACTATTTGTAAGTCAAAAATGTTTTTTTGACCCATTCTCAGATTGACCAGAGAATTCATTCTGCCGCAGGTGCGCTGCGCAGTTCACCTGCGTGAGTTCATGAATGATTTCGTGTACAGGCTTGCAGTGTTTGGGCCCTCTCAGAATGCTCCATTGTCAAGGTTTCGGCCAATGAGACTCGCTGCATGCTGTATTATGAGATGTCAGCGTGTCTCCTTGTTTCTTAAAATAGTACATGTTCAGGACCACCTTGGATCTTCATGCTTCTTGGCCAGAAGCCAGCATAACCGTTTCAAAACGCGTCGCGTCGCAGGCGGGATGAAGCGCAATTTGAGCAGATGCTCGGCCAAAACGCAATTGGAACATGACGCAGTCAAGCGATATCCGTCTCCTAGGAGTGCCACCGATCAACATGCAAAGGAAGAGATTAGAACTCGGCACACACAAGCACCTCCGTTCTGAATTTCAACAGTAGGGCTTGCAGATGACAGGGTGGCAGCCAAGGAGAGCTCGTTCGGAGGCTGCAGAATTAGTGCAGTGCCGATTTGGCGGCTTGGGTGCAGTAAAAATCAGCTTCAGGCAGAAACTGTGGCAGGCTGTTGCCAAGATGGCTGCCAGGTAGCTCGAGGTGCTGGTTGCATTTTTGTGTTTTCAACACGTTTCCAGGTCCAGAGCTCTTAGCAGCACTTGGCGAGTGCCCTGGCTATCGATTGAGAGTCTGCGAGGTTTGCCCCCGCAATGCTAGCATGCCCAGATAGGTTTGATGACTTGATTATCTTAGGTTCCGTTGTGCCACAGAATCCCAATCTCCCATAGATAATAATATGATACAATAATTATATATAATTCTGATAATTTATTATCCAATCACGCTGTCATTCTCTGCCACGTAATGGCTGTGCATATGTGCGGGTCATGTCTTTAAAATCCACCAACCTTGGGCCTTGGGTAGCCCGACCCCATCCTGAGGATGTACACGCTGCGAGCAGAAATCTATTTGGCCGACGAGTCAGCTGGCCGTTACTCATTCACCAAACGGATGGCAGCAAACTCAGCGAAACTGCTGGAAAAAAGCTTGAGGCATTTTGAGGTTTACATCACTTGATTTGTTTGGGCATTCACATTTCATGTTTCTGACTTTGGGGCGGGAAAGGTGAGGAGACTGTACATGTCCCTCCCTGCAGAATGTCGGATATATGATATATGATATATATGATATATATGATATATATGATATATATGATATATATGATATATATGATATATGATATATATGATATATATGATATATATGATATATATGATATATATGATATATATATATACACATATTACAGGATGTGTTCGAACCAGCCAAGGCCTCCATAAAGCATTCTAGCCCCTTGGTTGCAGCTTTAGTGACTCTTGTAATTGTTGTTTTCATTGTCAGTTTGTCGTCAGCACTGCTGTCTGGCTGAACGTGTTGGTCATGTTATGGTTCCTGCTGTTGCGGTGTCCTCCTTGCTTGGTCTTCGAACTGTCTTTCAACTTGCGCATCATTGCGTATGATTTATCAGCATGCGTTCCTCTTCGTGAATGGGAGTCACAGGCAAGACGCTTCAGCACAAATTCAACTTTTATTCGATCCTTGGTGAAACCTTTGGTCCGCGGCGACATCTTGCTTCAGACAAAACAGCTAGTCATAAGTCAGTCATAAATCATATTGTTCTTTTGGGACTGCAACCGTCTGTGTTGTGAGATGTTCTGAGGTATTGTTCCGACAGCTTTGCGCAAGTGGGCCAGTTGGGACATTCCTTCAAGGTCTTGGAAGAATCCGTCCCGAAATCGGCTTCAGACCCGCAAGCGAAGGCATACCGGCTGGAGTTTTTTTCCGCAAACACAACAGATTGACGAAGGATGGCGCCAAAAAGAAGCTATGACAGATCATCACACCTTTCTTTCGACATCTTTTGTCTCTTTCTGAGCAGCTATTGTATTTTTTTATCTTTTTTTATTTTCTTCTCGGAGACTCGGGTTTGGCATCAGGAAGGTGCTGGAACTGGAACTCCAGATGCCACTGAGCAAGAACAACAGGAACAACAGCAGAAGGCACCGGATGGTTGATGATGTGATGTGTTTGGTGCCGGTACCTTTTTTCATTTGGCAACCCAGCAACCACAAGAGGTAATTAAGTGTTTCTACATACGTTTTTGTTCTATTTTGTTCTCCCGGTTCACCTTGAAATTTGGGAGCACGCAGCATGAAACAGAACCTGTGCCAGATGGAGAAAGCTCTCAAAGAGGCCTTGCAGACACCTTTTCAGATTGCTTGTGCTGTTCGTACATTTTTGAACCTGCGAGAATGCAGGGGGATAGATCTGATCCAGCGTTCGCAGCCAGCTTGTTTACTCTTGTTTGTTCTCCTGTGTTCGCAGTGTTCAACTTCTCATTGTGGGGGCGCAGCGCAAAGCAAACTGATCCGGTGACAGGTGGAGGAAAAGCTCAATGAGGCTTTGCCAGTTTTCGCTCGGACTGGTTGTGCTGCTTGGACTTTCTTGAGCCTGTGACTGTAGGCAAATAAGCAGATGTATTGAAGGGGGGAGCTTGTGAATTTGATCGGATTTATCGGGCCTTCAAGGTTGGGTCAAAGTCAGGAGGCTGGAAGGCCAGCGGTGCTGGTTGACTCACATTGCTAACGATGTTTTGATCTGGTGCTGGTTGGGTGGTCGGAGGCAAGCCTGGCCCAGATAGGACATTCATTTTGAAAGTATACCCAAAGCTCCCATCACAGTGTAGCTTGCAGAGTAGCAGAGTAGGAACTCAATCTAGACCTACTCGTATTATTTCCTAGCTTGTGTGACGTGTATGCCAGAATCACAGATATAATCTGTGATTATGATATATAATTGAAATGACACTGTAATATACACATATATACCTACAGATGCATCATATATAGATATGGAATATATATATATGTGGCAGGGACCTTTGGGGTCTATTTCGTTCCTCCACACACAAACGTAATCAAACGTAATTCTATTTGCATATATACTATACACATAAGTAAATATGTCTACATGTGTGTACAAGTTCAACAGAAAGTCGCAATTTTTCCCTTCCCCCTCAACCTGCGCAGCGTCCGTTTTCTGCTCCAAGAGATGCTGTCACCAGCACGCGCGAACGCACGCCAATTTGAACTCTGGGCAGAAGAGTCCTCCAGTGTCAATTGTGTTGTTTTCCATCCCTGCAAGCTACAAAGTTTGGGAATGCGCATGCAAGTTTGGAACTCTTGTGCGCTCATGCATGGGAATGTTTTGGCTGTCAGGAGTTTGTAGTTGTTCAACTGGTTGCATGCTTAGTAAGAAGCATAGTTTTATAGAAAAAACACCTTAAAGGAACCTCATGGGCATGTAACACAAGCAACAAAGCAATGCAAACATGTTCCACCACTTCCACCTGTAGTGATGAAGAGGGAGGGTGATGGCGGCCAACCCCCTTCATTTTGTCATACTCATCACTTCATTGTTTTTGGCCCCGCTGTCGTCCCCTCTCAGGATCCTTCGAATGAAGAAGAGTTGCAAAAGCAGACCTTGGACCTCTTGGTGAACTTTGCATACAGGCTGCAGATGGATGGCCTGATGCCTGACCTGCCAGAACAGCCACCAGGTGAGCCCAGTAGTGGATCTGGTTTTCTGCGAGAAGTGGAAGGTTCCAAAGCCAAACACCCAGGTGCACCACTACTTGAAGCTTCTATGGCAATGGCACCTGGCCCAAGTCCAGGTATCTGCGCGTCTTCACCAGCCAGTGCAACTACGGTTTTGCCAGTTCAACCTGATGTTGGTTTGTTGGCACCTGCCACTCCTGAAGTACCCCCTCTGAGGCTTCAGCAGCATGGCATGCATCCCCAAAGAACTACCTGGTCCAGTTCCAGAAGCAATGGGGGAGGTTGACCTGTACTCCTGACCAGGTGAAGAAGCTTCTTTATTGCACCAAACAAAAAGGCTCTCAAGCTTCGACTGGGTCTTCGTCTACTCAAGATGTATCTGATAGGAAATTCATACATTTTCTCAAGCATCATATGTTTCTATGGTTTTGCTTTCTGTGTGGGATTCAAGTTTCTTGATCTATGCATTTAGTATTGTTCATTCTCAAGTACCAGAGTTCGTGCCTCCTCGAGGAACTTCTAGTGGAGGTTGGTTCAGGAAAGTTTCTGGGCTAGTAGTTGCTTGGAAGCTTGGAGAAGTGCACAGGATGAGATGCCTACTATAACGATGGGAAGAAGTTTCACGGGTGAAGGCGTATGTGGCAGCTTTGGTGGGCTACGTCAAAAAGTGTGGACGGCAAAAGAACTTGGAGGGTGAGTATGGCTTGAACACTTGTACTCGCTTAAGATCTTACTGACTCCAGCAAAGCCTGGGTGGTGAAAAAAAACCTTATATCAAACTATCAAACAGTAAGAATTTCAATTCTGTTTCTAAATTGAAAATCAAGCAGTCGCAATTTTCAATTCAGAAATCGAAATTGAAAATCTACCAGTCACCATTTCAATTCAGAATTTAAATTGAAAATCAAACAGTCGCCATTTAAATTCAGAAATCTAATGGAAAATCAAACATTCACCATTTCAATTGAGAAATCTAAATTGAAAATCAAACACTCACCATTTCAATTCAGACAGTCTCCATTTCAATTCAGAAATCTAAATTGGAAAACAAACAGTTGGCATTTCAATTCAGAACCTTAACTTGAACCTACAATAGTATATTTTACTTTTCAGATTTTGATATTAATTTGGTTTACTATTTGGCACAACTAACATAATATAATGTAGTTTTTACATAAGCAGCCTTTAGGGCTTTCATTTTTAAGCCAAAAAGCACATTGATGCTTTCATTTTTTGAAGCTGTCACAAGTATAGCACATTGATGCTTCAGGTTTTGGTGTTCCATTAGTGCATCAGACATGTGTCCTTTGCATTTTTCTTGTCAAGCTGTAAGCTGTCAGGATGTCCAGTAATAGGGGTCAGGCACGGGGTTCAGCCACTGATCCAATGGTATCTCGACAGTTTCGAACCTGGACCTCATCCAATGGATGGAAGAGCCTCTGTTATGTGGAGATTCATCAATCAGGTTTTGATTCTTGATTACCAGGCTGAAATTCATCATGTTTTTTAAGCATACGGGAACTCAGGTAGTATGAGGATAGAAGTAAACAAATTGCTCGCTTGCTCAGGCAGGATGCTCTTGAGCACTTCAAGCAGAATGAAGGCCCACATCTTTTGCCTGCCAGCCTGGAGAACTTGATCAAAATCAGTTACATGTTGGCTGGGGTCCCTGTTCCTTCTGGCGATGCTATCTGCGCCTGATAGCTGCAGCTGTATGCCCATAGTGCATGGCAAGCCTGGATGAAAACATACTTGGGTGGAATCAAAATACTGTGGGAGGAGAAAAAATATTTAAAAAAAACACCATGTGGTGTACTTGTTTTTTTCTGGCCCAGTGGCCTTTCCTGCTATTTTGAAACTATTGTGGTTTATGCCCAAGGGGCTTTCATGTAAAGGTCCAGGGTTGGGTATGAGAGCCCACTGAGATTTATATGCTTCTAACCTTAAAGGGTCCCAGAACCCATTTCCACCTACTCTTGCTAAAGGTTTTGCTGATAGGGCTTTCATTTTATTGTGTAAACTAAATTGTTTCTGCCCAAAGGGGCTTTCATGTAAAGGCTTAAACTCCTTTATCCCATGCCCAAAGGGGCTGTCATAATTCTAACTTTGAAGGTTAGCAGAATCAATTCTCTTCTGCTTCTGCTGCAGTGGGCCCATAGGAATTATGAGCTCACCTTAGCCTAGATCCTTTGATCACCATGGCTACTTGGGACGTTGAGGACTTAGTCAAGGAGATTAGTGATATGGAAGCGATTTACCAAAGGAACGCTGGTTCACAGCTGGTGCCACGAATGCAGGAAGCTTTGCAGTCCAAAGTGAACGGTGTCCAATGCTCACTGCTTCTAACTTCTTGAAGCGTCCTGATGCTGTTCAAAATGGCATCTTGACTGCTGACACGAAGGCAGAGTTGCAAGCATTTCTCGAATCAAGGGCAGCCTCTTCAATCCAAGGGGCCACCAGGTTGCAGGCTACACCTCAAAGCATGACCACGCCTTGGAACTACTTGTCCCAAAGCGAATGGCAGCAGATGCAGAATGGCATCAACACAGTTGATGCTACCCACATGCTGATCAAAAGAATCAAAGTGTGTGGGTTGAAAAGCCTCAAAGAAGACACCAAGAAGTACTTGACATCCTTTTTGGTCAGCCTTCAGGTGAAATCACCAATGTCTTGCCTCCAGTTTTTGAAATGTACAAATTTTGTGCTGGATACGTTCGAGGCTGTGGTGGCTCAACCTCTGCATGCTGGTTTGGCAAGGTACCCACCTAGCCCCCACGACATTGGGGAGGCACTGGGTTTGTAAAATCTTTGGTGATGGCTGCTTTCAAGCTGATAATTTTGAAGTCAAAATTTAGCCATGACATAATCCCTGAACACACACACACATGGACCCGTATACATATTTCCATTTGAACATGAACACTTGCAGGCTTTCTGCTTGCTCGCTACCAGTCATATGATAAACCTTGGAAGCATTGCCAAGAAAGTCACGGTGAGCGGAGCTGCCAAGGAACTCAGGGCTGTGGCCACTCCACAGGCAACCTCTCAGCAGTTGCCAGCAGAGCGTTCGACAGGGAAAGATCCTACAAATGGAGAAACAGGCCAGAGCTTTGGATGCCTTGAGCCAGAAAATCTTGAACAATGATAGCTTGGAGGAGCCTGCTTCCAGCAACTCCTTGCTCTCAGATGGGGCCGGCCCAAGGGACTCCACCTCTTTGACTCCCAAAGCTTTGCCGGCAGTTCCAGCTGTTTTGCCTCTTACCTGCGCCTTCTGACTGTGCTGCACCTGCTGGAGGACATGATGGCACCCAGGCAACAGCCTTGAGGACTATGAAGCTGAGGCCAAACACATGCTCACCAAGAGGAAGGGCAATGATTTGGATACTGCCATGAAGAGGCCAGCTACTAAGAAAAGCCTAGCCAAAGCAGAGCCCAAGCAAAAGGCCATTGTGAAGAAG